CAAACTTATTCTCTATAAGTGTAATCTTCTCTTTTTACCTAACTTGACCTGTTTTGATTCAGAAAGGATTTAGATCTGTCCACATCTTAAGCTTGTTGAGTTAGAGACAGATCATAGAACCAAGTCTTCAGAGGAAGACTTTTTAATCTTCAAATAACATTTAATTCAACTAACTTTCAATTCTGTTAACTTTCACTGTGAAAGTTAAAGCTCAGAAAAGTTAATTAAAGGAGTTTTCAAGCAAGGTGGACCTTTCCAGACCACAGCCTTTGGGCAATCTTCTCTTTTAACTCTAGTCCTCTATTGTGTGGATGTGTTCACCTGCTTATTGAAGACCAGAGCTTTCAAGCCCTCCAAAGGAGTGCACATGGCCTGGTCCTCTTCTAATGACTGCATCTGTTCAGGGGCTTCCTCAGCTGCTCCCAGGAGAGGCTCAGCTTGGGCTTGGAGGACCAGCAGAAGGGTGGTGATAAGGACAAGCGTCTTCATGGCTGAGAGTCACCTGGAGGATGGATGAACCGGAACCAAGTGTGTGTGGCATGAGGATTTGTCCTGGATTTATAGTTCTACTAGGAGAAAGCGCAGGGACAGGGTTTGCTGGTAGAGAAAGGTGGCATTGATGAGAGAAGGGGGAGCTTTCCCTTCAAACCCCATTGATGTTTCTCTGCTCTCATAGCTTCCAGCAATGGTTCTGTGTTTAGTGTCTGCTTGCGGAACAGCGTGATGGGAAGGATATCGTTATCATTTCCTATTGCCTGAGTCAACATTTTCTCACTAATATTTGAAAAAGAAAAACAAAATGCTGAAGTATCCCTTCTCTTCAATATTTTTGAACAGTTTAGAAAAATGTTATTAATTCTTTTTTAGACATCTTTTAGACTTTGGTAAGGGAAACCATTGCTCCCTGGGACTTTCATAATGGAGCTCCTGAGACATTCTCAAAGTTATGTACAGTTGTGAGAAACCCAGAATAGAAAAAAATAGACTTGGCCTGAACACAGGAGCCTGTTTTCAGAGCCTGTCTAAGTAAGGCACTGGTGGATACAGTGGACAGTGTTGCTTAAGATAAATCCAGATATTTAATGGGCTTATGGCACTCTGTTTTATTTTTAGTAAGCATACAAAAATGACACTTTTATACACACACCAGTAACTGACATTCCTCGAGGACACCATGGTTCTTTAAGTAGGAACTACGGAAGTCACTTCAGTCAAAAGTTGTCAGAGCAATTAGATAGTCACATGTAAGAGTAAAATGCAATGGAGTTCTACCACATACCAAGTATAGAACTCAACAAAGAGGGAACCAGAGTCAGTGAGCTGACACCTGAATTTTAAAGACCGAGAAGACAGGTGAGTGCTCATTTCTTACAATTAGCTGTGAACAAAGGAAACATCATCAGAATTAGTGTCTTTAGCTTTGAAGGACACATTCAGGAAAGTCAGTAGAGTGATCACAGCCACTGCGGTGGGCGTGCTTGCTTATGTGAGCCAGGGTCTTACTAGACAGCCCGCTCTGGCATGGGCATTGCTGTCTTCCTGCCTGCTTCACCCTGTGCTGGAGTCATAAGCCTGTGCCATGAGGCCCAACCTCAATTGTCTTTGAAGGAAACTTGGTTTTAGAAAACACTAGATACCTCGGTCACGAGGAGTCAGGACTGAAGCGTCTCCATTGGGTATAGAAACTGTTCCTCAAAGGCCATCCCTGACATTACTGCAGAGTCACATTTAGCACATTTAGACACTCTCTAGCCCTTCTTGGATGAGTGCCATTAAATTGCAGGGATATATATTAATGGAAGTGCAGGATGTGATTTTGAGGATTAATGAATGTTCCTGACCTGTTCTAAAAGCAGTAGATTCCAGGAGAGAGCAATAACATGGCAGTTGATAAATATTTAAGCAGCTGGGGATCAAAGGAGCTTATCATTATTTTTTCATTGCCCATCCAGTAATCATCGTCAGCCATCAGATAGATGCAACATGTGGTGTAAGCAGAAATCCCGGATCACCAAAGGGTTGAAGGAGAATAAGGGAGCCTTGTGTGGTTCCCGTCCACATTCCCGTGCCTTCCCTTACACATACGCAAACACTAAACTCTAACCCTATTCTGAAGGATCCAGTTTTCTGTGATCCACCTTTTAGTGACCAAATACAAACAAGATAAGCGTCCCCCACCCCGCCCATCAGATGTCACTAGACTGAAGAGGAGCCTCTAGGATGCAGTCATGCAGGTCTTAGCTCGGCTCTGTTTGACTCTTCACTCCACTCTTACTCCCACAGTTAAGCCAGTTTAACCGCCAGTCATCTAGGAGTCCGCGTTGAAACAGAGTCTGTTGCAACCCAGGTCCGTTTGCCTATGTTCAGCTGCTCCAGGGAGCTTCCATACTGAAATGTTTTTCTGCATGAGATGCTGACCAGAAGAATTGGCAGTGAAGAAAGACCAGCTCCATCAGCAGAGGACAGATGGTGTAACATGAGGGCCGGCTTGTTGGGGTATCTGTTCCCGCCTAGTACCCCACAGCCGGCAAGTCCCAGAGAAAATCAATCACACAGAGAACTCTATAAGTTATAAAGCTGATTGGCCCATTAGGTCAGGCTACTTATTAGTCCTTGTAACTTATATTAATCCATTATCATTATCTATGTTAGCCATATGTCTTGGTACCTCTTTCAGCTGTCAGCTCACATGTTGTTGCCTCTTCAGTGGTCTGCCCAGGAATGGAGGAAGAGCTTCCTTCTTCCCAGAAGAAATACTCCTGTTCTCATCGCTGCCTCTACTTCCTGTCTGGTTGACCCGCCTATACTTCCTACCTGGCCAATCAGCGTTTTATTAAAATACATGATTGACAGAATACAGACAATTCTCCCGCACCAAGATGGCATGGCAGGTGGCACAGCTGTCCTAACGGCTCTTCTTTCCCCAGAGTCTTCAGAGGCCTCTCAGAGCAGTAGGTATCAAGTACCGGTCTTCTGAACTCTTCACAGTGGCCACGTTAGATCCAAAGCCAGCACTCCAAGAAGAACAAAAGAGATTCCATAGAAGAGGCTGGAATCTGGGAATTAAGAGGTCTTCTGAACATCAGTGAGGGTAGAGTGCACAAAAACAAGCATGACTCCTTCTTATCCCTTCTGATTTTGGAAGGCCTGGAAATCTATTTTGCTAGAGTTAAACTAGTAACTTCCAGGCATTCTCACACGTCCATATTTAAATATGACTGATGAATTTGTGGATGGTTGTTAAAGTTTGGAAGCCCAAGGCCTTCGGTTCCCTCTGTAGTCCACCATGCTCAGCTCAGTACCCAGGCACCTGTACAAGAGGCATGAGCTGGGGTGGCGACTGAGGACCCTGTTCTCTGGCACCTGACCCCTCCTGCTGTACCTTCCTGTGTCCTGGCTTGTCTTGTTATGTGATTGATGTCAGTCACATTTTCCAACTGCTTAGCACTAATTGAGAAGTATAGATAAGGTATCTTAAGACACCTACACCTAGTTTTCTTAGGGTATAGATAAGGACATGAGCACATGGATTTCGTGTTTCTAAAAGCCTGGGCTACTTAGATCAATTCCATCCTCACAGGATGTGGGCAGAGATAGTTCTGGCGATGAGCATATCTGGGTGGGATTGCCTGCTTTGATTCCTACTTAGTGTCTTTGCTGTTAACCTTTCTTGTCCAGAAGTATTTTATTAATTGAAATTATTCATTTATTTTGCATCCTGACTGCAGTTTCTTCTCCCTCCTCTCCTCCCATTCCTTCCCTGTTCCTCCCTTCTGCCTCACCTCAATCTACTCCTCCTCCGTTTCTGTTCTGAAAGGGGCAGACCTCCTATAGGTGTCAACAAAGCAAGGCACATCAAGTTGAGGTAAAACTGAGCTCTATTCTATTAAGGCTTGGTAAGGCAACCCAGTACTTGAAATAGGTTCCCAGAAGCCTGTCAAAGCATCAGAGAAGGCCAGGCTCCCACTGCCAGGAGTCCCACAAGTATAACAAGCTGTACTTTTGTTACACATATGTAAAAGGCCTAGATCAGTTCCATGTGGACTTCTTAACTGTCGGTCCAGTGTCTTTGAGCTCCTATGAGCCCAGGTTAGTTGTCTCTGTGATAACCTTGACACCCTGGCTCTTACAATCCTTTCTCCTTCTCTTCAACAGGATTTATGGAGTTCAGCCCAGTGCTTGTCTGTGGATCTCTGGATCTGCTTCCATCAGCTACTGAACAAAGGCTTTCTGATGACAATTAGGGTTGTCACCAATCTGATTACAGAAGACGGCCAATTCAGACCACCTCTCCACTATTGCTAGGAGTCTTAGCTAGGGTCATTCTTGTCGATTTGTGGCCATTTCCCTTGCACCAGGTTTCTACACGGCCCCCAAATTGTCCCCTGTCCCATCAAGATATCTCTTTGATTACTCTCTCCTTCTATACTGCCCCTGATCCCTTATGTTCCCATCGTCACCTGTCCCCAGTTTATCCAGGAAATCTCTTCTACTTCCTCTTCCCAGGGAAATCCTTGAGTCCCTCTTTGATTTCTCCTTGTTACTTCACCTCTCTGGGACTGTGGAATGTAGCATGTGCTAACCTTTCTGATTGCTACTTAAAGTTGTGTCTGTGAAGGTGGTGCAAATGTAGGGCTTTATGGGCACATATATGATCTCGGCATATTCAGCTAAATCCTAACATTCAGAATGAGGATGCTGGCGTCTTTGAGAAGTCAGATCATTGGGACTATGGAGACTTGAAGATAGTTATGATGTTTTCTGCCCCCCCCCATTGCCAATGGCTTTGAATGTGGTTCTCATCTAAATGAGGTAGAGTGGCATGATAAGAGATGGAAATTATTACAATAGAATCAACTTCTCTTAATCACCAGAAGCCTGTGTGGTAGCTTTCATACTCTTATGATCTGCAGTCCAGCATTTCTTTACAGTGTTTTGGTACTTGATTCCCAGAGTCTTGCTTGGAGACAACAGACAAGCACAGCACAGAGACAAAGAGCTTGCTGCAAAGACTTTATTTAGATAAAAAAATAGGAAGGAACTCAAGGACACAGCATGGGACAAACAGGATCCTTCAGGTTTTCAACTACTGTGAGAAACCTAATCGCCTTGTTCTTAATCATCGGCGGCAGCAGAGTCGGTAGACGATGTTACGGTACCTGCAGGCGCCAACAAGTCGTTCTGGAAAACGACAGCCTCCTCTTCTGCAATAGCAGGTCACCTCTGACCTCACATCTGGGGATACAAAAACCACAGGAAACACTCAGTGCCCAAGTCAGCAGGACGGAAGAGACCCTGGGTAAGACATGTGTTAGGTGAAGTGGGTCCTCCACGTTCATCATTACTGACAACAGCCTGAGCAATCACAATCAATATGAATAGATATGCATGTTAAACATTGGACCTGCACAAAACTAAAGACCAATAACAATTTGTCTTAATTCTGTTTCTTTTCATTTTTGTTCTCCTACCATTACACATATTTTGTGCATCTGACCATTATATAAAAATCTAAACACAAACCTCCAGATACTAAACTATAATAGACACAATAAAATATTCTCCATCTGACCAAGTCTACCAAGTTATATATAGAAAAACAATGTTATTAATCGTTTTATGTATTAACCCCAGTGATAGTCATAAAATTATCTTGGAACAATAATCTTCACAGAAAGAAATTGATTTATTGGGCTCTTGCTATTGAATGTGAAAAATAAAGAAGCAATTAAGTCCCCTGGGTGACCTGACTTCAGAGCTTATCTCCACCCCTTCTCTTTGCTCCATGTCTCTAACATGCTGACGTCACTCACCTGCGTCTAGGAAAGCAGTGCTCTCCTCCCCTCCTAGGGAAATGGCTATGTTCTGGTCATCGTCTCCCAGCTGCTCCTGGTCTAGAGCCTCCTCAGCTCTTCCGAGGAGTGGTTCTGCCTGGGTCTGCATGGCCAGCAGGAGAAGGGCAATGAGTAGAATGAGTGTCCTCATGGCCATGGGTTTCCTAAGAAATGAAATAATCAGTAACCATGTGGGGAGGGGCGGGTATGTGAAGAGAAGGGTCTGAGACAGGCCCTGCAGTTGGACAAGGTCGACAGTGATAAGGAAACAGATCTGTCCTTAAGGCTCTCCTGATGCTCTTGTTCTCACGGCTTCCATCACATATGCCTCCACCTGTGTATCTGGTGACTGCCTTTGGTTTAAGCTGGTGAGGATGAGGAGGACTCCGCTACTGTTTTGGATTTTATACTTGGTACTGAAATGAGTGTTTACTTTTTAATGCTAAAAGAGATGAAAAGGAGCGGCACTCTCATGCTTTAAGTTCAAGGGCACAAAGACTCTACCTCTCTGAAGATGGACTCTGAGGCCTTCTGAAGTTGTCGACTCTGGGGTCGGACATGGATCCTGATGACATGTGTTAATCAAGGCTTTTTAGGGTTGGTTCTGATAGCACATTGACCTTATCAAACTATGAAATGAACTCCTGTGATGCTAGGTAAAACATAGATCCCCAAAGGAGGAATGTTTATTCTTTCCACCTCTCCGCATCTATGAGTGGCAATTGAGACAGTCGGTGTTAAAGCACACAACCCAATGATTTGATGCACAATTGGATGTTGATCTCCAATAAAATGAACTAAAGATCCGGACACAAGACTTGAAAGTATAAAACTATGAGAAGAAAGTTCAGAGCAAGAATTGAACAGACATTTCTTGTATGGGAACAAAGCAAAGGCGGGCAAATGGGATTGTGCCAGACTGTACAGCTTCTACATAGGAGAGGGAATGAGCATGGGAGTGAAATGGCCAACTCGAGCATGGTGGGAAAGGTTGGCAAAGCATACACCTGATATGAAACTATTATCCATATGTAGGCAATGTGTGCAACTCAGAAGCCAAAACCAAGTCAAGTGATAAACGGCAAGTGACCCAAAGAGATATTTCTTAAAACAGAAAGACGTTTTTCAGATTATATTATTCTCCCTACCTGAATGACAAGGAAGACATCTGTGTTTTGAAGAAAGCTTTGTGGATTTCCCCTTAACCAGTAACCACTGTCCTTAGATGTCACCAGAGGCCCACATAGCAGAGCCTGAGAAGAGTCTCTGCAAATGTGGGCATCCCAGGGCAAGCTTGCCTTTAGGAAATCCGTTGCAGCTGGGCCTCAATGACAATACCCATGCTTTGAAAATTAAGGGAATTTTGTTACTCACAGATCCTTGGGCTGTGCAGAGAGCAGAGCAGCAGAGATGGCACTCCTTTGTTCAGATCTTGGGGACAACAGCAGCTGTGCCCTTATGGAGCAGACTTGCCCTATTTAATAGCGAGTTGGGATGTCCCACTTTTTTTTGTGGTTAATTTCTGTTGGGTGCTTCCAGCATCTGTGGTGCAAGGACGGTTACACAATTTGGAAAAGCTGGGCCAAGGCAGGACTTCCCAGAGGCTCCCCCTATCTGTCTTTTTCAGAGCTAGACAGCACTTGCTTGCCCATCACTGCTTACACAGTTGAGCCGGTGCTGCACGGGCGTGTGAGATCACTGATGTCAGACAATATGAAAGAGCTCGAAGGACATGCGTGGCTTATGAATCATGCTTTATACTTGGTGAAAATGACTGGAGTAAATATTCAAAGAATTTGTAGAGAAGAATTTGAAAGCCAATTCTCAGTGAGCCTCTCCGGGACCTATTAAAGATAGTTAGGCCTCCCTATTAGAGCTAATTAAGCCATTCAGTGGAGCAGGGATGCTGCACTATGAGAAGATTGTACATTAGATTTGCAGTGTGACTGTAGTTACTGATGGAGTCTCCAGTGTGATTGATATGTCTACATCATGCCGTTCTCTGGAGGACCCAGATGCAACCTTTCTTGGTCACTAGACAAGGATAAACAGTTATCTAGAGCAACATGGGCAAAACACTCGTGAGACGGTTCCTGGAGACACAATGCCTTCTGGATGTCCCACAGACTGGACTGATAGCAGAGAGATTGGCAGTCGACAGTCTAGCCAAGTGACATGTGTTCAGAGGCATTATATGTAAACCAATACTAGTCCTCTATAAGGTTGTGTTAGAACCAGCATGATCAGAATGGACACTGCGTGCTGGAGATGCACCAGCTTTTCACCAGACAGTTCCTAGGCGGAAAACCAATGTTTTAAGGTGACCTCAAATCCTGAGACACTTGCTCTCAGAATGCAGGCTTGTCCCAGCTCCTCTTGATCATATATTTGGCAATTTCTTGACCAGTAACAAAATCTCACGTATGTCACCATGCTGTATTTTTGTTCCCAAGATTTAAATATTAATATTTTAATTTTCCTCTTATTGGGTGATGTTGTTATCTGAATGCTTAAGTCTCACTAAAATTAGCGTGTGGAAATCTTACTCCTAAAGTTAATGAAATTCACAAGTGGGATCTTCTGTCAGGGGATTGGGTTAAAAGGGAAGAACCCCCATGGATGGGGTAATTCTTTCATAAAAGAGGCTGAAGGAACTGCTTTGTTCCTTTTACCAGGTGAGGAAATTTCCTGAAACTGCCGCTTATCAATCAGGAAATGGGACATCACCACAGAGTGAACCTTTGGACACTTTTGTCTTGGACTTCATAGCTCACATAACTGCAGGAAATTTATACCATCTGCTGTGCATAACATTATTATCAATGGCGTGATACGTGGTGTTGTGTTATGCCAGACTAAGTGGACTAAGACAGATGTTCATACTGGAACCCATTTGCCATAGTTTGAGGAACTCTGAATCTTGTGGAGAAGACCACAGGGGAGGAACCAAGGCCTCTTATGGTGGTAGAACAGAAATACTTAGAGCCAGCTTGCTCGTGACAAACTGGTTTGATTTATAATGTTTACAAATATCCATGATTAAAACCCACTCAGCTTCAGACAGGGGCATCTGTCTGATGGTTTCCTCCTCCTGAGCCAGGATGGAAAGTAATACTCTGCACGTCTTTGTCTCAGCTCATGGTCCTGCTGATCTTCCTCCTGACACCAGTAACGCTTGCTTACCAAGCTGGAGAGTTCTTCTGCAGTGAGCTCTCCAAACCCGAGAGAACCGCTTCTCCTTTTGCCCATGGCATTGACCAATGTCCTAGTGGTAGATTTGAGTTAGAATACATGCATGTGCTGTACGGAATCCGTTTCTTACTGTAATGCTTTCTGACACAGCAGTAGAAGAACAGAGCATTGGCATGTATATAGCGAGGGAACCTGTGGCCTATGGATTATTTTAGATGTCAGTTTTTGCTTGGTCAATGTATTGTTTATGAAGTGGGACTACATCATTTCACTTAATTTCTCAGGAATAGCTGGGAACATATAACGAGTAAGTGGCATAAAACCCTGTACTCATTGGGATGCTGTGGTGAACAGTTTCTCATTTATTTTTCATCTGAATATCTGCAGTGGGGATGCAGGATTAGTGTGTAACCCAAGTGTGGTTCAGGTCTCTGTCCTTGGGGAGAGATTTAGTGAGAGGTGTATGACCTTGCCAATTGCTAGAACATGAGGGAAACCAGAAAGTGATTTTTTTTTGCTATGAATTTAAGCTAATAAAATTCCATATATCTGCCCTTCATTCACTCTGCCATTATATCAGAGCCACCTGAAAAAGAAAGAGATCTCAGTGTCTGTGTTACTGGGGTTATATTCAGGAAGTGATCTCCTGTGCCAATGCGTTCAAAGCTACTTCCCACTCTCTCCATTATGAGGTTCAGTGTGGCTGGATTTGTGTTGAGGTCTCTGATCCATTTGAACTGAAGCTTTGTGAATGGGGATAGATATGACTCTATTTGCATTTTTCTACAGGTCAACTTCAAGTTATGCCAGACCCATTAATTTGAATACCAATCCCCAAAAACTTCTACCAGGGAAGTTTTGTTGAAGATGCCTTCTATTTCCATTGTATAATTTTAGTTTCTTTGTCAAAAATCAGGTGTTCATAGACTGTGAATTAATAACAGACTCTTTGATTCAATTCTGTTTGTCCACCTGTCTGTTTTGTGCCAGTATCAAGCTGTTTTCATTATGATAGCTCTATAGTAGAGCTTGAAGTCAGGGATGGTGATGCCTCCGGAAGTTTTTATTTTGTACAGGATTGTTTTGACTGTCCTGGGTTTTTTGTTTTTTTCATATGAAGTTGATTATTGTTCTTTCAAGGTCTGTGAAGAATTGTGCTGGGATTTTGATGGTGATTGCATTGAAACTGTGGATTGATTTTAGTAAGATTGCCATTTTTGTTTACTATGTTGATCCTACCAAGAACATGGGAAACTTTTCCATTTTCTGATATCTTCTTCAATTTCTTTCTTTAAAGACTTAAAGTTCTTGTTATACAAGTCTTTCACTTGTTTGGTCAGAGTTACCTCAAGATATTTTATGTTGTTTGTGGCTATTATAAAGAGTAATGCGTCTCTGATTTCTTTCTTACACCATTTATCATCTGTATATAGGAGGGTTACTAGTTTTTTTTTTTTTTTTGAGTTAATCTTGCATTCTGCCACACTATTGAAGGTGTTTATCAGATGTAGGAGTTCCCTGGTAGAAGTTTTGGGGGATTGGTATTCAAATTCAGATTGTTTTGAAAATAAAAAGAAAGAAAGAGAAAAGGAAAGAAAGGCCAGGACCCTGAACCAACCACTTAATCTAGTCAGGATTCCTCCTTACAGTTCTCAAGGACTTGAGTGAGAATGCTGCCTCAACCTGAGGTGGTTCCTGAATTCTGTATCCAAGACTCCAGTTAATACACATGGGAAACACGATCAATCCCAATGCAGAGCATTCAATACAAAAGGGTTGATTACAACTGTTCTAGGTATAGCCTGGGTATCAGAGTTCTCAGGTCATTTTAAAGCACAACTTTCCTGAGGCTAATTACCAAAGATCCATGGTCACCCACATCAGAAGACTGGAAGGCAATGGGGCAGGGTGTAAACCAGGAGTCTTAGGTGAACTCCCAAATGAGGGTAGATGTAGGCAAAGGAAAGTGTGTGGTTAGAGGGTTGAAGAGAGTGAGAGGAACTCTGTCATCTGGGGTGGCAAAGCACTAAGAGGGACTGGGAAGGTGAACATCCGGGCCACATTAGACTGGAGAACATTTTCCTCTAACCTGCAAATTTCTAAAATGACCTGTGGACCTTTGAGTGACAAAGGAAAGTTCCAAAAGCACAGAAAAATATATTTTCTCAATCCCTTATATTCTGTTTCTGGCTGTAGAAAGAGTTTAGAAAACAAAACTCTCAAATGAAAGTGAGCATAAGTTGGAGATGTAGATATCTTTGAGTGTTATTGCTCTGTATCTTGTACATTATTGTACACTATTGCCAAGAGATGGCATCGACCTTCATGTTCCACAGCGAATGAATTGATAAAGAGAATGCGGTTTGCATAAACATTGCATGTGTGTATTGTTTCTGTTTGCATATGTACACATGGAACACTCTTCAATCATAAAAAGGTGGAATTTTCAATAACTGAGACGATCCTGGAGGACACTCAATGTGTGAACTCCAGATGCACAAAGAGAAGGCAACACGTTCTCACATACAGGATAAAAACCAACATCATGCAAAGTGAGACTAGAATACTTGCTATTGGTGACTGGTAAGGTCAGGAGATGCTGAGGAGAGGTTGATCCATGGGTATAGAATTGCATTTTAGGTAGGAACAATGAGTTCTGGCCAACTATTACACAATAACATGATCATAAAGTAGTAATGGACTGTTAATTTCAAAATAGCTAGGACAGTAGAATTTTGTGTTTCACAATAAAGAAATTATAAGTGTGTGAGGTGACAGATATGCTAATTCCCCAATTTATTCATTTCACAGTCTGCATATGTATGTGTCAGCCCTTCCCATTATGTACCTTAAATTTCCCATATTTACAACAGGTCAGTTTAAAAACAATGAGCTCTTTTATTTTACAAGAAAATTTTACCCCAAACTTCAGAAGTGTGAAGGAAGAATGCATGAGATTAGTGCATCCAGGGTCTAGAATTTGCAATAGGGAGAGAGGTTGGAAGAACTTTAGTGGGGAGTTTGGTCAACACAATAATGATCGTGTATGAATCCTGCGACCATCCTAAATATTGTTGGTATTTGGAGCTCCTATTTTGTAAAATAAATAAATAAATAAATAAACTAAATTATTTATTCATTGGCAAAGGTTTCCTTGAAGATTCTAGTACTTCATATTCAGAATGAATTCAGAATCCAGACTGAGCCTTATAGCAAATTCTGAAAGAATGCAAACACACAGGGAGCTTATCACAAGCACTTTATTGGAGATAAAAGAGAAACACAAAGGCGTGGAGATCAGAGACTTGTCTTGGGCCTCAGAGAGCATGGTCCTCTTCTTGTTTCTGGTCTCCATATTTAGCGACAACAGAACAAGTAGACTTTGCGGCCTATGGTGCACAGTCCCCTGAAGCGTTC